GACCGCTCTATCCATCCCATTTTGCACATTTGCACGCCCCCCAAGCTCCTTCCGCTTCCTGCCCGGGAGCTTTTGGGCGGGTGTGTGCTGCCTCCCCCCGCATGAGGGAGGTCCGTAGGTTGCCTGCAGCTACGTTTGTTTGGCAATGTCCACCACCTCCGTGCCCATGACCGGCCACAGTCGTCTTTGCTTGTGCAGTCGTTTGGAATGGCTGTGCCAGGAGCTGAGGCTCACAGCCAGGTCGGCTCACTAACAGCAGGATGTGGAGACGGAATTGGCAAGCAGCTGATCCATACTGATTGGCCAGCGGTGGCAGGTTGGGCCTTTGCTTAACTGGCATAGTACTGCAGCATGTTGTGGGCGTGCTGGGGAGTGAGCAGGTACTCTTTACCTGTAGGTCTTCAATTCTGCCTACGTCATTTGTTCTATGGAGTTAGGTGTGCGCACAGGCAAGCATGTGCTATGGTGCATTCGAAGGTCCATGCAAGCAGGAGTGGACGAGCTTAGGCCAAGCCTGCCACATAGCCCTGGTCCGGAACCATGTGCAGCCACTGTGGCCATCGCATGGCAGGGCAGACAGCGAAAGCATTCTCCTTTGCACACGCACCCCGCCATGTGGTTCTTTGGCCTGGGAGCTTTGTGAGCCTAGGAAGCGATGTGCAGTCCAGAAAAGCCCTGCTAGCAATGTAATGCAGTGAGGGTGGGATAGCGAGTTCTGGTAGTGCCGCACAGTTCATAAAAGCTTTCATGATATTGTAGTGGCTGGACTTTAGACTAGAATGGTCAGATTAGGTCAGGTTAGGGCCCAGGGTTAGGCTAATTGCAGGTCGCGCACGATGCACACACAACGGACCTTATGATTCTAAGGAACATTTGCAAGCAATGGGAGTCCCTCAGTGGGCCGAGTTCGCTTTGGACGGGGAGCCTTTTCCTGTGTGGACACATGACAGTGCAAAAAAAACTTGCTGGCAATGGAATGCATGCTGCGGTGGTAGGGGCTATCCATAGTTTGGTCCTGGCAACATTGGTGATGCGCAAGTGAGATTGTGTGCACTGAGTATGGCAGTCTGACCTCTCTAAGGCTGACACAGTGCACAAAGGTGAACTCCTGGATTTCCTCAATGCTTGAGTTCGAAATATCTACCTTGCGTAAGTAGTTTACAGTTATTGCAGGCATGTGAACCCAGCACTTGGAAATCTCGAGTTAACTCTAGAGTAGTGATTCCGGTGGAGCTCAGACAACCTGGCGGCAATTCCCTCGCCTCGTCCTGAGTCTGTAGCTCCTGGCGGCGGCCATCCTCCAGGAGGACAAAGGTGGCCAAGTTGATGCAGTCTCGAAAAAGGCAGTGTCCAAGCTTGGTTGCGCTGCCAAATTGATTAACCCCTCCTCCGTTGGCTTGGATCCACTGTAGAGAACAACAGTCCGCGAAAGCTTTGTATCCAAAATCAATGCAGCCTAGTACTGTGATGCTATTGAGCAACTGGCACCCTCGAAAGGTGTTCTCTGCAATTCGCACAACAGTATTGGGCATTCTGACCACCCGAAGATGGCGGCAGCATTGCCAGGCTTCGGCTCCAATTGCACGCATGCCTGCTTCAACTCTGACATGGCGCAGGCGCGGCGCAGCAACAAAGGCGCCGGAGGGAATGATTCCCGCCTGGTTCATCGGAACTTTGACTGCTTGTGGAATATCTCGATATGGACAGCCGTCGAAGGTCTCCTTTGAATGAAGAGCTTCGAGACAGTCCGTCCGTAGGTTGCCTGCAGCTACGTTTGTTTTGCAATGTCCACCACCTCCGTGCCCAAGACTGGCCACAGTCGTCTTTGCTTGTGCAGTCGTTTGTCATGGCTGTGCCGTAGGATGGCTGTTTTCCAAGGCCTGTAATGCATTGCAACAATTGATGACCGGTAACGATCATTACTGATCTGACGAGCTGCAAATAGTTCGCACCAGCTGATCTATCGTACATTCGAACAAGGCTGGAGTGCCTGCAACCTAACCTGGCAAGGGCGACCCTGCCCCTTGTCTGCGCTCGAAGGCCACTAGTGAATGGCCTTCAAGGACAACAATCAAAGTCCTGATACAGTGGGTTGCATACTTCGAGAATTCAGGCCCAACTAGTTAGTACAACACTCTCTCATGTTTCACACGTCTCACCTTAGTACAGTCGAAACTCTGCCCACATTGGTTGTTGGGGTTCTCTGGTGCTGGTGTTTTTTGGGGTTGTTTTTGGGTTTTGGGTTTTGTTTGTGCTTGGTTCCGTGGTTTTTCTGGTTGCTCCCCTTACCAATATGCAGAGTTTCCATCCTTCTCATGATGACCTGGGCACACCGCCCACATGGCGTCCGTACTCGTGCAAAAAAAATTCTGCTTCCTCAGCTTCCTCCTCCTCGTCTGTCTCGTCTTCCTCTTCTCCCTCTTCGGCTTCGTTGCCGACCTTAGTTTCCTCTTCCTCCTCTTCCTGTTCTGCTTCATCCTCGCTCATTGAGGTGAGGGTGACGACGTTAGTGTCATCATTGGATTGCTCAGTTTCAGTGGGGGAGCAGTCCTCTTCATCTTCTGTGCTGCTCACTGAAATGGGGGAGGCCTCCGCATGATCCGTGATTACATGTGCAGTAAACAGTAGACAACAAGCAACAGCGTCTGTGCATTGCTGATACCTTTCCAATTTTCCTACTGTATGTAGGCTGTTTTTGGCTCAAGGTGCTGTCGGCCGACTGGCTATCCTGCAGCACACTTTCCCTGCACCTGCCGAGCTCACGGAACATAGTCACAGGAGCTAGCACCTTAGTGCTGGTCTTCTGAGCACTCAATGGCGAAGCGGCGATCAAGCGGCTCCCTCAAGATTGGCTCGCAAGGAATCCAATTCACTCCCTTTGCCGAAGAAATTTGCCTACAGGAAAATTTTGAAGTCAGCTTGGTGCGACTTCCGGCCACAGTGCACGAGATCACCTTTCCGTTATGCCTGGTTGCTGCATGTGGACCATGTACCGATCACAGGCCGTGTCGCCTGATAGCAGAATACCACTTAAAGTGAGATGTAGGTCTCCTCCCTCTTGCGAAAGAGGATGCACAACGGTGCCATCCTGTGGCTTGGCATATGCAAGGCGGAAGGCACAAGGTACCTGCACGAGGCGATAGACCGGCGGGTCGATCGGGCAAAAGGCATCCAACATCTTGTTTCTGGCTGGAAGCACCCCTGCAATGCGGAGATGCAAGTGCTGTCTATCATGCTGTAGTGTACAGGCAATAACATAGAGCCTGTGCCGCTTAGTAGCAATTTCGCTAAGATACGCGGACAAGTCTATGGGTCTGTTACTCCCTTGGACGCACTCTAACGCACAGGACCAGGGAGACATGTCTCGTAGGAGAGGAAGGAAGGAGTGGACTTGCGCCTGACGTTGACTCGAAGTCGTCGGGGCAGAGTGCATGCTGCCTAAGCCTCTCGACTACCTCACGAGGTGCCTTGAGCCAAAAACAGACACAAGGTGTGGTGGCAGATCATCTAGGGCAGCATGCAGAAATCCGAAAGCAGTTAAACTGATTATTGAAAACACTGCTAGTGTGGGGCCTTTATGATGCGAGTCTGCCCCAATGGCATCGCCTTAGCGCCCTACCGCGAACGGTTGCGGACGGTTGACAACGGAACGCTGAGACAACGGGTCGCGAACAAGGCTCCACCGCCACGCGTTCGGGAAAAGTACAATTAGACATAGATGATATATACCGGTTATGTGTTTTTTCTTTCAATTCCACTCCGTTCTCAAAAAACAACTTATAGGTTATAGGGCAGAATATGCATTTCGTTCTCAAACGAAACTGACCCTCTGCTAAAGCTGTATAGCGATGAACGCACTAGTTAAAATTTAACGCTTCAGCACCTTTGGTGCCGGCGGATTTTACATGTCCTGGCGCTCGTTTCAATCTCACACGCCGCTCTTTCTCTGCAGTTTTTCTTTCCAAACCACAGTTTTCTTTGCCAGTTCCTTTTCTTAACTTTTTCTCCAGTGGTCTTTAAATTTGGCCACAGACCCACAGTCATTTAAAGTAAAACAAGCAAACCTGTGTTGTTGGCTGACATACCGGCTTATGTATGCGCATTGACATATGTTTTGTGTGCTCGATTTTTGTACCATTCAGATTCTTTGCGCATTTAACGGATCGTAAACCTTGTCTCACAGGCTGTATTGAGTTAAAAGGACCGGCTGGTGGATATAGCGCCTTTCTCATAAGCGTTTCTTCAGTCTTATTATGTGCTCTCAGCCAAGAAAACCCCAAATTGCTGAATGGACCTGTGCGTCTCCTGGGCAATTGGCATCCTCAGAACTTGGATAGTTGTCTCACGTTTGCGTGCGCACTTCGATCAAAGGTGTAACGAATGATTCGGCATCTTTGAGCCATAAACCAGTGTTCGTGGTAGGTGTAGAAGAAGAGATGTGGTCTATTGTTCGAAGTGAACAGTTCGTAGAAGGTGTGGCACTGCGGGTATGTTGGTGCTGTCCTAAGTTCCTCAGATATCCGAACTGCACAATTCAGTGCGTTTGTATAGAATCTGGAACCTTGCATGAAAATTAGCTTCACATCACCACTTCCACCACTTCGCCACAACGTCCAGCACCAATGTCACCTCCACACTGTTTGGGGTCTCTTGCTAGAATCACTTCACAGGCGGGGGTTCTTATTTTGTGGTTTCCTTTTTCTATGCCTTTAACTTTCACTGATTGTTGGCCAATGCTGTGATTTTTCTGATCCGTTGACATTCTTTGCGCATGAGTGTGATAGTTGGAACAAATGGAACAATGCATGTTCCATCGTTGAGCTTGAAGAAGTTTGCATGAATCTACTTTTCAAACACCCTCTCCGCCCGGCTCAGCAACAGATTGAAAAGGAAGCATACATACCAGATCATGCATTGAATCGAAGCTGCGAATGTCGTGCATTATTTGCACAAATTGCTTAGGGTCTTGTGGCGTTGCCCTCACAAGACTATCAGAAACACTTCAACAAGGTATTGCTTTAGGCACCAATGCATGATGGTTTCTGGCCTTCAGCTTGATTGCGTCCTAGTCTTGATTCAGGACAAAGAGCTGCGCTGTTTGCAATAACACCTTGGGATTTTGTTGGACAAGAGTCTGGGGTTCAATATGAATGGAATCGCTAAAAAGAACCTTGACATACATGGTTTCCCAACGCAGTATCCAACAAAGCCCTTGGGTGAGATAGGTGCAATTGTTTAGTCAAGCTGAAATGCGCAAGTGACGGAACATCGCAGGTGTTGATCGGCAGCTCTTGGAATTTTGGTCCACCAAAATCGAAGCTCTATTTACGTCGCCGAGCATTCTCGGAGCATTCTGAAGTTGAGTTGGACTCCGATGGGATTCCTGTTGAATGGGGATGCCTGGCACACTCTTATCATAATCCGGAGCTTTGGGAAGAAGATGACGTTGTTCTTGGAAAAGGCGCCTTTGGCATCGTTGCGCGGGGCATCAACAAAGAGACCGGCGAACTTGTGGCAATCAAGCGAATTTCACCCACACACTATTTGGCGGTTGCCACAGCCATAAATGAAGTTGAAGCTGCAACAAGCCTTGGCGAGCATCCGAACATCGTGCAGATGAAAGCTCACTTCCTCGCTCCTCGCCAAGAAGGACAAAAACACCGGGATGTTGTACTTGTTTATAGATTGGCCTTGGGAGGCGATCTACAGCAATGGATAAACAAGCAGCATGGCAACTCATTCAGTGTAAACTACTTGGAACCCAAGTTTACCGATGAAGCCTTGCGCATCATGCGACAGCTCGCTGCTGGCTTGCAACACATTCATTCAAAAGGCATTCAGCACCGCGACCTAAAGCCTGCGAACATTTTGCTGAGTGCAGGTTGCACTGCTTTGGTTGCAGATTTCGGCATTTCGCTGGTGAACCGTTCTTCTCAACGACTACAGGGGCATGCGGCCTTGGGGGATTTCTACTTTATTGATGTAGATTCGCTTGTAACAAAGGAACTCCCATACACTTTGGATGACGATATTTACTCGTTGGGTGAAGTTTTTGTCCATATTCTATTTGGTCGCTACGCAACAGGAGTGGACTTATGGCGCTTTGTCCAACAGAATCCGCAGGAAAACATGCCAACTGTTGTTTCTGTACTGAAGCAAATGCTTGACCCAAGAAGTGAACGCTGCAGCTTGACGCATGTTGTGCAAGTCTTAGATGATTTGCGCTTTTCACCCAAGCAGTCCGATCCTCGTCCTGTTGTCATGAGCATGTTTTTGGGAATTGGAAGTGTGGCCACAGTGAGCGCAGTGATGAATCACCTGAAGAAAAAAGAATTTCGCAAACGAGACATGTCTGTATTTTCAAGGCAGTCCAAGCTTCGAGCAAGCTTTTGTGTTTACCAGGTGCAAGGACAGCGTGCATCTTTGCAGGATTACTACTGTCATGCGCGCATTCCGTGGGCTACTCATACTGGAGCCAGGTCCTGGCGGCTTTTAGGCATGTTCGATGGACACGGTGGCAAGGACTGTGCGAAATTTGCTGCGCAGTTTTTGCCACACGAAGTCAGAAGAATGTTGCAAGAAAAGGAGCAGGAAGCACAATTGGTAAGAGATGTGGAAGGACGCTCCAAACTCTGCTCGCAGTGTTTCATCGCTGTTCAAGCCTTGCAGTGTGCTTTGGAGAGCCTGGATCGTTTCTACGTGAAGTTTCGTGAGAGGAACAACAACATGGACCTTTGTGGGGCTACAGCATCGGTAGTTTTGCTATCCCCAGATGGACAACATGCTGTTGTTTGTAATATTGGAGATTCTCGTGCGGCCCTGGTGGGGGATTGGAAGTTGCTTCAGCATTCGGGCACGCCCCCTGAACAGGTCTCTGGAATGGTCATATCGCATGCACATCGTGTGAGTGATCCGGAGGAAATTGCTCGTATTGATGCAGCAGGTGGATTTGTTGAGTATGGTGCCAACGGGCATCGAGTGAATGGTGTGTTGGGTGTTTCGCGTGCCATTGGCTACTGTGGGATGCGAGACTTCGCAGATCTGGTGCCATCACTGTCGGACAGTTTCATTGCACGGAGAGACGTTGATAACAGCGCGTCACTAGGCGGCATGCACATGAAGAAGCGAAGTAGACGAGTGTGCCATTAGTCTGCCTTTGTTTCTTGGGCTCGAAACTAAAGATGTCAGAACTTTAAGAAACATCAGCAAACGCTTTGAGAAACGAGGAAAGAATGAAGGTAGGGGCCCTTGTTTTTCTTGCTTCCTCTTGCTTGAGGCTGGTGGCCCTAAGTAGCGATGGGCTTTTTCGAACGCATCAGCTAAAAGAGGTGAGCTTCGCTTGTTTTTCTTCCTTGCTTTTTGTACGGTTCAGCACACAGCACTGGGTCATTTTTGCTAGCTGTGCACTTCTGACATTTGCATTCTGATAACGTCTGCACTCTTGAGTCTTATTCTTTGTTCGCTGCAAAGGCCGAGGCCATCTTCAAAGAGCTTGCAACTGCGGAAAGCTACTGGACTCATATTGAGCATACACTTTGCATGCTTGTAGTCAGCGATTAAGGGATTTGTTCCGGGTTTGTTCCCTTGACCCTCATTGACAACTGCAGATGACTCGCTTACTCCTTTTCATCATCCTTACTTGCTTGACTATATGACTACAGTTCAGTTTTGGCTATTCGCATGTTTGTGATCCCATTTTGCACGACAGTTAAAAAGGTGTTCAGCAGCAGCAAACTTCTTCGTTGTCAGTGCACAAAAGAGGGGAGAGGAAGTTTTGAACTCACAACCTGGGACGTCATCGTTTCAATATGTACGGAGATCGGTATGACTCTAGTGGCTACAGTAACTATAAGCCTGCTACCACTCCCACTACAATGCTTCTTACGTTCAGTACTTTTATTCTTATATATATATATAAATCGATTGATATGTTCACTGCGGGTGCTTTTCTGCTACCATTACTTTGTATCTTCCATACAATGACTCCTGCTGTTCCCTGCTTCCCTTCTGAATTTTTGTTCATATGACTCTTGTTCTAAGCTTATGCTTTTGCCCTTCAGGCTCTGCTGTGTTGGAGCAGAAAGTGGTCAAAGTTGTGAGTGCAGCTGGTGGTGGAGTCGCTGCAGATAACAAGGAGTGATTCTATGCACTCTTTCTGGTAGAGTAACGCTAGCTGCTAGCTTTGTATGAGGACAACGCAACTCTGCTGGCATGTTTGTTGCCACCTCAGGCAGGGTGGGCCTTCTGCTGTCAAGCTGGGCGGTGTCTAGTGAAAGCAATCATTTAATGGTGCATTCGTTTTGAGTTGGACTTCCATTGGTAGTAGCTGTCATCACGTTGCCTTCCTCAGCACTGGACCGCTTGTTTCCTTGATGCCAGGTCTGAATCTCTTCTAGCAAAAGAGCCCGCCTGCGTTGCACTTTGGTTCTGAGAAAATGGACCTAAGCAGCCTAAGCATTGCCTCAAAGACTGTTAATGAAGTTTCGACCACGTATATAAATGGTGGAAAGCCAGTTTGTTACTTCGTGTGCTGAAGACCATCCAAGGAAGTTGTACAAGTTGGCAAGCAAACATCGTTGTTGTAGCACTGCAGCAGCAGCAGCAGCAGCAGGAGGAGGAGGAGGAGGAGGTAGTAGTAGTAGTAGTAGTAGTAGTAGTAGTAGTACTAGTACTAGTACTTAGTACTAGTAGTACTAGTGGTAGTTGTAGTTGTAGTTGTGGTAGGAGTAGTCGTAGTCCATAAGGGGTGGTCTTAGCAGTAGTGCTGTTTACAAAATTTCTACTCTTCGCAGATTCCACGAGGAAGCAGTTTCTGAACAAATTTATCGTTACACAATTTAGTGTGGGGTATACGGTATACATGTCATTTTTTGTTGAAGCAAACCCATTTGCGCAGGGAAAATTGTAGAGAACAAATCCAGGGTAGGGAGGATCATTGATGAGCTTTGTTTGAATGTCAATTGAACTTGAAATCTCAAGCCCCCATTTCTCAGTGAAGATAGTTCACTGGTGTCGCACATGGTCCTTGAGATTTTGCTCCTGGTCACTTTCGGTGCTGTCTGGTCACCCGAGCTTAGGGAAAAGGCAAAGGCAAGAACAAGAACTGACAGAGTGGCTCGTCCAAGCTGGAGAACATGGATATTGGTACAGTGACCCAAAGTCACTGTGCGAGCGCAGCCATGAGAGAGGAGATGAAGCAGACGGCAGAGATCGTGACGAAGGAGACAAAGAAACCAGAGACGACCAAAACACCGCTGCCATTCGAGGACTCGCGAAGCGCCAGACAATTCGTCTTTCTGGAGGTGTTTGCGGGAAAAATGCTGGCTTGTCGAAAGAAGTGGCACGAGAGTGCAAAAAGCTGGTGGAAGTGATGCAACCGTTGGACGTTCACGGCGATTGGGACATCCTGTCCGAAGACGGCTTCGAGAGAGCTAGCAAAGCAAGCAGTGGTGAAGGCCGATCATTCACACATGGCATTCCCTTGCCGCAGCTTCACACGTGCCAGGCGCTCAGACCAACACGGCGCAGTGACAGTGATCAGGACCATCCAGTGGCCAGGGGCATCCGCTCTCAGACGAAGGCAGCAAGGTCGTAGAAAGGGCCCTGATCTACCTGATCGAAGAAGCGCTTCAGGTGGAGTTAGCTGGAGAGTCCAGCGGGATACAAATGACTAGCCGAAAGGACGATGGTGTTTACAAAGTCAAACCAGCCGCCAGCAGCCAAGTGGAGCACACGAAAAGTCCAAAGCGGAGATCAGAGAGGAGGAGAACTTCGCTGCAGTGGGGGGCCTGAGAGACCCTCGAAACGCAGTCGCTCGCTGCAAGACATTGCGAGTGGTCGGCCATCGCACCTGAAGCTGACCGGAGATGTGGATGAGCGAGCAGGATGTGAGGCAGTTCGAGGAAAACATGACCTTGAAGCCTGAGCTGTGAGGGCCGTGCTGCCAGGCCGCTAGTTCGGACTTTCCAGGGGGAACAAAGCCCAGAGTGTTTCGAATAGAAGCAGACGCATCCCCGACTGGACTGGGCGGTGTCTTGTTTGCAGCCGGCACACGCGCACACTACACCGCACATGTTTTGATTGAGTTATTTTGCGAGGCCTTGTAGGTGGCCAGGCTTGATCCAGCATACCAGTCTAGTCTGAATTTGAGCTTTTGGCCATGTTCGTGTCCGTTCGTCTATTTTCCGAAGTGTTCAAAGGTCAGCGCCACGCATTCAATTTTTCATTTGCGTTGCGTACAGCATTGTCGTTGCAGGGAAAACCCCCGCTCATGGCACACCTGGCAGGAGAGAATGGACTCCAATTGGAAGAGCTTGAATTGGACACGCTATGGACTATGGGGCCGGCGCCTGAGACGTGTGCCCAACACAGCTGATCCGCTCTCTAGATTGAGCGAAGGGCAATCGATCCCACAGCTGTCGAGTGAGGCCACACATGTGAAGGTCCCCCCAATGTCCTTTTGATCCGAGCTTGACCGCATGCATCAGACCTGTCTTGACCAAGTGTGGAAAATAAGTGTTTCGCAGCGTGGGTTCGCAGTCGCTCATAGGGGTCCATGCGACATGCTTCGCAGAGCGTGTCATCGAAGACGCAGGGGCATGGGAGACGGAGGTCGCAGATGAAGTGAACGCCCCACCGCCGGGAGTCATGGCTGGGCCAAGGCTGATGTGGTGATAGTTCAGCCTGTGTTAACAGCCCAGCAATGTCGCAGTCAGCCATGTGGTGAACACTTCAATGTCTGCTGACGGTCTTCCACGATGGACAGTGGAGCAATGTTGGTCCACCCCAGTGCGTGATGCGCCATTAAGGCGAGCCCATAAAGGTAGCTCTGTGGTAGTCGACATCATACTGCCCATGGGTGAGCCCTGAGAATCAGTGCCAGGGAATTCGGCTGAGGCAAGAGGTTGGAACGAGGCACCTTGAAACAACGTGACCTCTGCTCGACCCCCAACCCCGGCGCACCAGGTTTGGACCGACGTAGGCATTTGGCTCCAACTCCGAACCAAGCAAAAAAGTTTGAAAGGGCCACTACAACCTGCCCTCCAGATTGTTTGGGTTGAAGACCTACGTGAGCAAGCGCAAAATGAATACATGGACTCCAGGGTACGCTCAGCAGACGGTCAGCTCCAATTTAAGACCGCCTTGAGGCAGAAATGGTCGAAGATCTTGCAGGCCTTGGGATATGAATCGGCGTTGCCTTAAGGGACGCCAAGCGTGCTGTCGCCCGGCCATCGGTCCGGCAAAGCAGGCTCCTGAGGTGCCTTTGAGGTGGTTACGAAGGGAGCTCTACATGGCCGGTTCGCCACGAGATTCATATTGCGCGAGCAAGAACTCGCTTGTATCTTTTCAGAGAGGTTGAGGTGAACGAGCGTCTTCGGCACGTCGCCCTGAGCTTGCCAGCCTCGAAGAGCAAACTTGCAGGCGAAGGAGCTCACCGTGCTCTTGGCTGTGTTTGGGTACAATCCGAATGAAATGGCCTCCTCCGCCTGCGCCCAATAAGCAGACCTCAAGTGTTGCACCAAGCCACGACGGTCACGTCCAATCCAGCCATTCGACATGAATGGGCTGGGGCCAAGAAGCTGCGTGCTACGAAACGGGTTGCTGAGCTGCCATCGCTTGGACTTCACCGACACCGTCGATCCAAATCTCATCATGGGCTTGGTGGCCACTCCCAGACGTTGTAGTTGGGCACGAAATCGATGTTCAGCCGCATGCGAAGTGCACAGGGCCAGAAATGTGCCAAGCCGCTCTCGTGTAGAAGAAGGCGAGCGTGGCGTTTGAGCTGGTTGACCTCAGATTCCACCCTGCCGTTGGATTTGGAGTCATCCCCACAAGTCTATGAGGCTTGGAGACGAAAGATCTGCGCCCCCATCGCCCGATAGCGAGCATGGATCTTGGTGGCCTCAGTGGAAGCAGCAATCTGTGATGCCTTTTCCCCATCCGTCTCCAACCCCTCCAACTCCAAAATGTCTTTCATCTTCTCCGGATGGTTGCAAGGTTCATCTCCTGCACCAAGGAAATGTTCACCAGATGGTGCCAGCCTCCCGTGGTCGTCAACCTGACAGCGTTGAAGCTACGCTCGACTGCTGGAAGGGAACCGCCCGTCGGACTGGACAACGCCATGTGGCTGGCCGTGAATTACCGCGGGTCGCGTGGCGCAACGCGGCTTTGGAACCCAGTGATCTTCCTAGGCGCTCGAAGTGCCGGACTGGGCAAAGCAGGGTCTGCTGACCAGGGCATGGATATGAAAAGTGTGAGCTGGGCATGTCTTGCAGTTCTGTGTGTTTTCATGTTCTTTCAGCCCAGCCTCCCGAGTTTCGATCCATCGATTCGGCGTCCAAAACGGGATTGAGGTCAAATGTAATTCACAACACAGCTACCGGATCCTCAGTTTGGGCAGGCCATTAGATTGGCTCTCGTTAGGTCGAGGTTGCCTAGATCTGCATTAGATTGCAGGGATGCACCAAGACATGCATCCATGCACCGGACAGCGTGAAGTAAAACCGTGTTTGATACTGCGTGCATCGGTTGTCACGATATGAGTTGAAACGCATAGAGTGAGTAGAATATGTTGGGTGGTTGGTGGGCTACGTATGAGAAGTGAACGTAGCAGTGTTCCTGGTGAAGAAAGATTGCTTTCTTGCTAGCCGTGTCTGTTTGAAGTTCATCGCTTGTCAGTTTGAGTGAACTTTCAAAGAGTTTTCGACAAAGTGAGGACTCCTACCAAACTTACCAAGTTTCGAAACTTGGACGTCAATTCCACTTGACGGCTTCTTCGTTGGTTGGCTAGCTCAAGAATCAAGAAACACCTCGTTGACTGAAACCGCCCTCAACTACCCCTCTTGGTGAACCAATGCGAATACCTTGGAAATTTTGACCTGCTTCCCTCTCCTCGGTACTTCTAGCCGATAGGGCATACCTGCTGCTGGTCTCTTCCAGCAGAGTCAACATGGTCAGCAACATCCTCCTAAACAGCGTCCTAGTAATAGTAGTAGTAGTAGTAGTAGTAGTCGTAGTGGTAGTGGTAGTGGTAGTAGTAGTAGTAGTAGTAGCAGTAGCAGCAGTAGCAGTAGCAGGAGTAGTAGTAGTAGTAGTAGTAGTAGTAGCAGTACTAGTAGTAGTAGTAGGAGTAGTAGTAGTAGTAGCAGTAGTAGTAGTAGTAGCAGTAGTAGTAGTGGTGGGAGCAGCAGCAACAACGGCAGTGGTAGTAATGTAGATGTAGATCTAGTTGCAATCGAGTAGGAGTAGGAGGGCAGGAGTAGGTTTGCTGTCATTGGCTCATCACCTTTCTTTGATGTGCTTTGTGCACCGCACCTGCTCTTGGCTCTGGAGATTGGGAATGTTCTGATTTCATGATGCCTGGCCAGGGCCTAAGGCAGGCAAAAAACAGGTTTCGCTTCTGGGCTTTGAAGGCCAAACACTGTTTAAAGTGTGTAAAGAAACAAAGCGCTTCCAAGGACGATTGCCTCGCTCCCGCTGCTGCACGTCTGATGAAGGGAGGCGACCTGGGAAACTGTAAAATAATGTTTGTTTGTAGGACAGACGAGCAGAGACGGCATCAGGTCAATACGCCTATGGTGGAAACCCCATGCTCGGAGGTGCGTACACAGGCCTTGATTTCTTCAGATTGCAGGGCGAATTGAATCCTGTCTGTATGCAGTCGTTTGACATCAGCACCCGTTTGTTTTGCCTGTAGGCCAGTATGACACTCCCCAGGTTGGGTCCTTTTTCGCGGTTTATTCTTCTGTTTCTTCAGCAATGTCCAGCGAAGCGATCTAGAGATTTCATTGTTGGCAGGCATATGGCCAGGCATCGGGCGAGTACTCTGATGGGCAGGTCTGGAAAAGAATTTGGGATCATGAAAGAACAAAATCACACTTTGGGAATCTCATGGTTGGCACGGATATGATATGTGCTTAGCCTGTCATTGTCAAGGCTATTCAGATCAGAATCCAGGACAAATCCATGTTGAAGCTGTTTGTACATGCTTCAGCTACCAGTTGACATGCATAGACATAGTAGCTTGATTTGGATATGGATAGATACATTCACCACTGAAAAAGCATCGGTTGCGGTAAGTTCGTACTCTCACCGAGCTTGAGTGCCTTCAATGGCGAGCAACCACAAGCTGGTTTGTGCCAGAGCTGCTAGGCAGCAGTTTCGTGGTGCATTTCAGCAAGCAGTGAGGGACTATCGATTGGCCAAACTGTCCGCCTCAACATTAAAGGGCTTAGACGCATTTCTTCCAGATGGCTTATCGTTCTTGCCTTTGTCATACCTCTATGACGGGGAGGTTGCTCGCTTTGCATGGGAAGGTGCTGTGACAAAGGAGAATAGAGATGCATGTGACCGCCAGACCAACTTTCGAGTCATGGCCAGAACCAGACCATTGCAAGAGCAGGAGGTGGACAGCAAGCTCTACGAGTCACTTAGTTCCGAAGGTGGTAATCATTCGATCATTGTACATGACGGCCGTGTCCACCGAGATGGCCGGACCATCTACACCAACCACTCACGCTTTTGCTTGGACCGGGTTTTTCCCCAGGATGCCAGCAATCCTCAGGTCTTTGAAGAAGCTGCGGAACCGCTTCTGAATTTTGCTCTACAGGGTGGACGGTCTACACTGATCTTCTTTGGTCAGACTGGCACCGGGAAAACATACACTGCACGAGGGGTTTTGGATGATGTGACAAAGAAAGTCTTTCTGCAAACAGCAGAAGTGGAGATGTGTTGCTATGAGATGGCCGGCACACGAGGAGGTCGCGAGGCCTTTTTCGACTTGCTGGCTGATCGAGCTCAAGTGAAATGTCTCACGGGTGAAGATGGAAACGTGCATGTCCGTGGTGCTCGAAGGGTGAAATGTCAAAATGCTGGAGAGCTACACCAGGCAATTGAGGCTGCCTTTTCATGGCGTTCCTCAGAGTGCACTGAGCGCAATGAAGCTTCCTCTCGGTCTCATTGCATTCTTGAGTTGCATCTTGCTTGTGAGGACGAGAACGGCTTATTGCGAGTGGTCGATCTTGCTGGATCAGAACGGAACTTTGAAACTCAAATGCACAGCAAATCAATGGCAGAGCGAGGAGGCCTTATCAACTACTCCTTGCTCATGCTGAAAGAATGTGCACGAGTGATGCACAATCAGGTGAAAGGTGCTCGTGAGAAAGAGATTCATGTGCCGTTCCGATCTTCACGACTCACTCACTTGCTGAGGAGCTCCTTCACAGACAAATATCATATGACCACCGTAGTTGCAACGCTATCACCATCACCTACAGATGTTGAGCACTCGCTGAATACCCTGCAGCATGTTGGGATGATGCGTTCCGCACGGGCCTGGGAGATGCAGGACACAGAAGCTATGGCAGCTATGGAAGATGCTATCTCAGAAGCCAAGACTGCCAAGGGATTTGATGCTGTGCAGGGTCGTGGCAGGGCTTTACACTCGAAGCTGCAGGATGCTCGCAAGGGTCAACTGGATTTGCATGCGTTTCAGATGAAGACACAAGTTGGCGGAAGCATTATCAAGAAGTATGAAGGGGAGAGTGCAAAGTTGGAGACCTTCATTGATGCCCGTTGGCACCGCGAATTGAAGGCGAGGAGTCGATATCTTGGCCGTTCAACACCAGTCACTAAGTCAAAAGTAGGCCGAGCAAAATAGTTTGCCGTCCTGTTTGTGCTCCAGCAACAGCTCCCTTGCTTGTTTTGAAAGGTGTAGACAGCTGATAATGAATGCCTTTGGAAGGTGAAAGTGCAGGAGGATCTTTGGGTGCTGCGGGATGCTGACATGGAAGCTACACAGGTGCTGTCTGATTGGCGGAAGGAGCAGTGGACAGCTTCCAAAGCCCACGACTTGCATCGCTGGGATGCGCAAACCCTGCAAAGCTTTTTGAAGTCCTTGGACTTACCAGGTGGGATGTCCAGCACGATGTAGGATCCAGGATGTTCAGTTGAAGCATTTCTCAGTCAAAAGTTAAGTTACCCTTAACATCAAGGAACCACATCATTAGAAGCTTGAGCTATCCTGCGTCCATACTACTGGTAGTAGTAGTAGTAGTAGTAGTAGTAGTAGTAGTAGTAGGAGTAGTAGTAGTAGTAGCTTAAGTAGCTAGAAGCTTACTCCCTTACTTAATTAAGTGGGCCGCTACTTGATTGCGTGGGGAGGGGGGAGCGGGGAAAAAATCTTCTTTTGAGAAAGGCGAAGTGCGGATCCCTTCCACCATGACGGGCTCGCAGCTGCGGCGCTTGGGTCCTCGAGGCCTTGCTGCCCTATGTGGCGATGTGGCCACAGCGCAGGTGCTCCAGGCCAATGAAAGCGAACATACTCGTTCATATTTATACACAACTATATATTTGTATATGTATATACTGTGTATATATATATATGATATTATATGTAGATTCTTCTTGGTTGTAACAAGTCAAGGCCATTTCCTGAGTTTGAAGAAGCGTTCAAGACCAATTGTTAGCATACTAGCACGGGGTGGCTTAAAAAGCATTCTTCTTCCAAGTATGTATACGCACAAGGAGACGAGTGCAAGGTTTTCTCTTACTAATTCAGAATGCACAGGCTGCGCTACTGGGCGAAAGACAGGCTGACCAGGTGGCCACTGCGGCGCATAGGAGCCAGAATGCGCGGATGACAGCGCTCGGGAATCACAAGGCGCATGACAGGAACGGAACTTTAACTTGTGTTCTGATGATCTGTGTTTTGTCTCTTAGAGGCGGATATTTTTGCCTTTTTGCTACTTGTAACGTTTGGACATAGACTCCATAGTGTTTGTCGAAAGCTCTGGCTGGTCCCCTTGCTATGATGTTGATAGGTCCATGCAGCTGTAGACGAAGCTGTATTTGAAGAAGCACCCTTTTGAGAACTCGAGAGCCGGTGCTCCTCATGTGCCGTGCATGCACTCATTCCTTGATCAAGCAGCAAGTCTTAGCTTGGGCCAAGCATAGCATACAGGCGCTCAAACCTTGTGCAAACTCAACAGTTGTCAATGTTGCTTCTCACTTTTAGAGCAGCTTTCTGTGACGCTCAGCTTGGTTGTGTACAGAGTGGAGAGAGACACTTTTTCTTTGTTTCCTTTCAAACAGTGTCGCTGAATAGCTTCGCATGGTTCAGTTTGTAGCAGCTTCTCACCTGTAGCTTTTCAGTTTGCCATAGCTTGGAATTCAAGAAGCCTCGGTGTGCAGTGTCCGTGGCTTGTCTTAGAGCTCCGTGACTGTGTGGGCCAAAAACGCCGACATGCATGCGATACCACTTGGGGTTAAGTCCCAGAGCCAAAGAGTGCTCACTCCGAGAACAGGACTACGATGTGGATTGGCATGAGCTCCGCCAGGCATGGCCCTGCCTTCTTTACAGACATGAGCGAGACTGTGTATCGAATTGCCTTTCGTCACACGCTTTTGTCACAAACTTGGGATTTTCTTTATCATGCGTCATACTGCTTTCCATTGCACGCTGCAGGCAGAGTGGATGCAGCACATCCAAAACCAATACTTTAGCAGGCTCTGCTGGCTACTCTGCTCGCTCAAATTGTTTCTACTTTTTAATGCTCTGAATTTTTGCAGCGTAGGTGGAGTGTGGACAAGCAGGACGATGCTTGGTTATGTCACGTCTCACGAAACGGCGATGTACGCGGAACTTAAGAGGGAGGAGAGCAAGTGGCTCCAAATCTCAGTATCGCGGTCCCGTTTGCGCGGTTCCTTTAATTCACAGTGACCTACGGTGGTGCTGACATGTGCTCACTACCTTTTTTTGGTTTTCAAGTCTCGGAGGTCTGTGACATTGAGAGGGAAGAATGAGGTGTTCCATGGCCTCTGCAAATTTAAGCGTTGGAATTGCTTGGAGGTTGAAATACGCAGATACACAAATATACCTGTTTTGACTAAATAGAACGGTGCCACAGACCATGACAGATGCTGGTGCTTTTGATAAGGAATGGCAAGCCTACCAAGAAAAGTTCAACTGTGCACAGGATACGGGTTGGAGTGAGACAGTGAAGGACAGATCTGCTCCAGCTGCATGCAACAGCAAACCATGTCACATTGAAACGCCAACTTCCAAGAGCTTGCGATTCTCTTGTACTGTTTGCCAGGAACCGTCGCAGGCTACAGGGTAAGCCCTCCGATTGTGACCGCATGTTAGCAGGTGGCGATTCAGAGGTTCTTCAGAGGTTGTGGTGTCAAGCATGGAAGGCTTGGTTGAGCTTGTCGTCAGACACCTCATTTCATTGATGCGTGCAGTGGTCCATTCCACCACTTTTATAGGCTTGTGGACACCTGTTTGCTCAAGCATGTGGCGTTGATGGAGACGCATAGAGAACTGCATGCCAGATATCACTGTTGTGTTAGCCAAAATAAGTTTCATGCTAACTATGCTCGCCGTTCTGCGTACATTTCCCTTCGAGTCTCCGCCGTGAGCTACTTCCCAGTTGAGGACTGGGCTGCTTACTGGGAGTGGCCTTGGTGACTTTAATGTTTAAAGTCCATTTGTATATTTATTGTTATTTTTTTCTCAAGAACCAGTGTATGTGTTTTTCTTCTCTCAAGCTGCTAGTGGCCCAAGCTCGCAAAGAATGCGTTCTTGAATGGCCTCTCAGATGTGATTAGAAGGAGGGCGAGGTTTGTGTTGCTTTTCCAGATTGGTCAGTGCGTGTCAACATCTGAGTCAGTGCCAAATTCTTTTATATATATATATATAAATCTGTACGCCAAGGTGCTTTCAAATACGGCAGGCGATGGTTTGGCCCTCAATAGACATCATTAAGTTTCTTGGTTTGGGGAGAATCCAAGACTTGCAGACTCTACAAAATCTGGGAAGATTCCTTTATCAACTTTAAGAAACGCGAAACGTGCACCTGATGTCTTGTGGACGGTTGGACGCATGACGGTTCACTTCATGTTTGACACCTGGCCGAAAAGGCCTTGAGCTGTTTGGCGCGAGAACAAGCGCGAGGGTTGGCAGGAAACTCGTTTCCGATCGGTTCGGCGACGCTATCCCCCAGCCTTCCATAGTGGTTGCGCGGAGCCTGTGCGCGGCCTTGGACCTTTGGTTGAGCCCAAAACTGGGCCAGTGGACTTTCCTTGAGGTGACCTTCGGCTTTCTTTTTGGCCTTCATCTCCCTCGAGCAGTTGCTTGCGGGTCGCCTCGGCAAGGTCAGTTCGGCCCCGACTTCGAGCAGTGGACGCCCCCTTCTCCTACGACCTGACGGTCGAGCTCTTTGCATGATGGTGGAGGAGAAGGATAAGAGCTATGGGTATGCCAGTGGATGGTCAGAGTCCGGCTTCGATGCAAGCATCCCGGTTTGGGATGGCAGACCGGACAGCTTGAGAGAGTTTCGCAGGACAGTCACGTGGTGGCTCTCAAGCATCGACCTCACGAAGACGAAGTTCTTCAACTTGGCAGCACGCTTCGCAATGAAGCAGCGTGGATCGACCCGTCTTCGTGCTCTGGAGTTCACTCCAGAGGATTTGGCATACCTCCCTGAAGAGAGCGTTGATGATCCAGACAAAGAGGGCGAGAAGATCATCATCCAGGCGGCTGACTACACAGTGGGAGTGTGGAAGCTGATTGATGCCTGGGAACAGATGGTGGGCAAAACAGTGAGCGATAAGAAAGGAGAGCTTCGAGAACGGTTCTACATGACTTTGAGGCGCTCTCCAACTGAAGCTGTGATGACCTTCAGTTTGAGGTATCGCACACTGGTCGCCGAGATGAGGGCTGAAGGCATTACTTTGGATGATGCTGAATCAGCCTGGTTCTACAAGCAAAAGCTCGTCCTCAATGAGGTCCAGAAGCAGCTGTTGGAGACCACGCTGAGCTCCACCGATGAGAAGTATGCTGACTGCGAACGTGAAGTATTGAGGCTGTTCAAGAGGATCCACTTGACTGGTGGCCATGCTCAGCCCTCCAACCCAGGTTCCTTAGCTTCTCTGCGAAAGGCACCTTTTCGACCACCTGGCTCAGGCAAGGGTGGCTGGCGCCGACCTATGTCCTCTTCATCGACGACCGTGTCGGCTTCCTCATCGTTTTCCAGAGGTTCCTCCTCCCGAATGGGACTGGGCGCCTCAGCGGTGAACGTGACAGAAGCTCAAGACCCCGACTATGAGGACCAAGATGGTGAGTTCGAGGCCATGGAGGCCATGGGAGAAGAGGACATGCAAGCAGAGATGCCTGAAGGCGACGCTTTGCAAGGACTTCAAGATGAAGTTGAAGTGTTGGCTTCAGAGTTGGAAGCAGCCGCGAAGGAAGGCTGCGATTCTCAGGAGCTTGATGCTCTTGAGGAACAACTGGAAGGTGCAGTTGAGGCTCTCGTCACGCTTCGAGAAGCCCGAACACAGATCGCAGCAATGCGAAAAGATCGGGGCTTTCAAGAAAGCAGGTAAGGAAGGCGCATGCCATGTTTGCGGCCGAGAAGGCCATTGGAAAGGAGACCCAGAATGCCCTGGAACTGGCCATAGTGGCACCAACAACAGCAAGGGCAAAGGTGGCAAAAAGGGTCGACTGCAGTCAGCTTTGAAGGGCAGCACCGGCAAACGTCCTTCGGAGTCCCATGTTTCGGAAGCCAACATCGTTGACCTGTTGCCCCCAGTACCTGAGGTGACCTTTGATGATGGACCCCCTGAAGTACATGAGGTGTTTTTGAGTGAGCATCAACTTCATGAGCATGAAGTTTGCGGGATTGAACGGCTGTCTGAGGTCCTTCAATCCCTCAACTCGAACAACAACCCCCAGATCTCCCACGACAAGTTGCTGCAGGCAGCCCTGGACAGCGCTTGCAACCGCTCGTGTGCTGGTGTTGCATGGATCAAACATACAGAAGAAGCACTACAGCGGGCACCCTCCTATGTCCAAAGCTTGATCCGTCGCACTCCAGAACAGGAACGGTTCCGGTTTGGGAACGGTGGAGTGCTCACCAGCCGGGAGAGAGTTCGACTTCCGATGCTGCTCGCGAACCGCATCGTCTTGATTTGGGTTTCATCGGTGCCAAGTAGCAGTTTGGGTCTACTGGTTGGTAAGGACTTTTTGGACTCCCTCGGTGCCGTCATCGACTTTTTGCACAATCGGGTCAAATTTCAGTTGCTCGCAGATGATCAGTGGGTTCGTCTTCACAAATTGAAAGCTGGTCATTTTGCCGTGCCTTGTTTACCAACCCCTTTGCATCAGTGGCCTGAGTTGAGTTCTTTGCCCTGGATCCCCATTGGAAGAGATGCTTGTTGTGAGATTCAAGTTGCTAGCAAAGAACAATGGGTTTTGAAACGCCTTCACAAAGCAGTTTCCACTCCGGCCTCTGAAGTGAATGTCACTGAGCACTTTGTTCCTGCAGTGTTTTTGGAGCAAGAAGCAGCCGAAGATCTTCATCCTTGGCATGGAGCACGGAGCGCCGGTATGCTGCTGGCAGCCGAAGGATCGAGCTCCAGTGCGCTGGGGCCGGATGCTGGTGAGGCTGCTGGCGAGGAATCGCTGGCATTGGCAGGGCATTTTGCTCTGGATGATCCAGCGCCCATACCTGAGAGGACTTCCGCCTCCGCTTCCCTCAGTCTCGACTCCAGCCGAGTGGGAGCATCAGACAGCCGAAATGTGCAAAAGGCGATCGTGGCCGAGAAAGTGGGCTCATTCCCTTATGAGACAGGGAGAGAAGTTTACGTTGTTTCATTTGAAGGATTCGATGCACCTGCGAGACAGGATGGGCCTCGAGTTGAGCTTCATGGAGAACGTCGCCATCCTCTTCGGCATCCAGGCATTGAAGAAGAAGCCAAGACGCAAGATGCAAGAGGCACTGGTGATGGAAACTCAACGGCTCCTCCAGCTCAACGACGCCGATCGCACGATGCAGCTTCGTTCATTGCTTGGGCCCAGAGGAGGATT